TTTGATTTGCACCGGGTGTCCGAGTCTCTTTGAGCCCCGACTAATCCCGGGGGTGCACAGGCCCTCGGCAAGGATTTTCCCGCAAGTGCACCACGGTTAATTCAGGTTACAAAACAACACAATTTTAATAGCTACCGGAAACAAAATCAGTAACAGGATCAATCTGAAGCAAAGGGAGATCCAATTAAACCAAAACAATCACATCAACTATGCATCATAGGTATATACATACGTAGGAACAATGTACATCAAATCGCAGGTCACAATTTAAATGGAAAATATACCTGTGATGTCACCGGAGAGCGAAGGAATTTTCCGAAAAGGGTGATCGGAGAGTTAGACCTGATGAGGGAAAAAGACGGAGCTAGCAGCTATCTGGCATTGGGTGTATTGTATTGGGATCTAGAAATATTTTGTGATGAATGTACAGGAAAACCCTCTTTGAAATTCATTTATTTCTCTCAGGGGTGGCTTGTTTTGGTTTTGGTGCATTTAATGTAACAAGCTTGTATGGTCCCGGAATATGGGTGTCCGATCCTTATGGACTAATGGGAAAAGTACAACCTGTAAATCCAGTGTGGAACCATTTATGACAAGAAGAGAATAGGGTGATTTGTGAATCTTTTCCCCCTTTTATGTGTTTTTCCTGTTTCCTCGAAAACCCCCTTATACTTCTAACTATTCCATTTTTGCCACGGTAATTTCTTGGTTTTTCATTCAAGGTTATTGCAAATTTATCGCTACTATTTTTGGGTTTTATGCATATTTACCTCAACTGCTTGAGTACTATCTTTTTTCTTTTTTGAGAATGTCGTGAAGTAAAAGTAGACGACATTCTCAATAAAAGAAACAAAAAAGAAAGAGAGTACTCAAGCAATTGAGGTAAAAATGCATAAAACCCAAAAATAGTAGGGATAAATTTCCAAAAACCCTGAATGAAAAACCAAGAAATTACCTTGGCAAAAATGGAAATAGTGAGAATTTGTGTATGTTTTTCACATTTTCTATATTTGATTGGTCAAAATGTTAGAAAAATATTTTCTCTAGGAAAATGACTTTCCTAATGAATATATGAAAAACGAGTTGCATAAGTGACACTGCGACATTCCAAGTTTATTGTCTCCTCTTACCCACCCAATCCCCCACCCCAACTACTTGAAGCATCTGTAGCATACCGCCTTTCCTTGTCAACGTCTTCAATTACCGTTTTCTTCTCATCAACAGGAGGGAGAGGTATCTGCATACCATTACAGCAATATCCTCATGGGGTCAGTAATGTAGTGCAACAATTCAGAGTAGAAAGGCTAACCTTACTCATCATTAATCAATACCTTGATCCTCCTCATTTTGTCAGTGAACTTTGAGTTGAACTCAAAACATCAGTCAGAGAAATTGTTTTGGTGCTTGACTCCTTGTTGAGAGTCTTGTACTTCACACTTGAAAGGGAATGAAGAAGCCGAACAACATCATCATCTGATAGTTTAATTGTGTCATGAATTCCTGATAACTCAATCTATCTGATGCATTAAGAGTAGCAGAGCAGAAGCCTACGAGGAAGAAGTGCCAATCTCATTTTCTCATTGATAACGTAATAAAAATGTTTTAAATTAACTAAGCCTATCCAATTTCAAAAAGTAAGCCAACAGTCAACCTGATAAGTAGTGACAACGAGCTCAATAGTCTTTGGCTTAAAATTTCCATTTATGTTGCAAGTTCCCAAAGAGTATATCCATGTAAGTTTCATGTGCTTTGTTTTTGTTTGATAGAGCTCCTTGAATACTTCAACGCACTTAACCTGACAATGTGCAGCATAAAATGAATCAATGACAAGATGTTTGAGAAGAAAAATGATTCAAGAAAAAAAACATGCATCATTCTTTGCCGAAAGAGAAGAACTTCAGCAAGAGGAATAAGGGTCAAAACCAAGATAAAATCAACTGCATAATGCCAATTAACATATTGATATGATATACCATTTCTGCTGGGAGGTTGAGATCAAAAGACTTGTAGCTAGGCCAGAAGCCAGTAGTCAAGACAGTTACCGTCAAGTCAATTCCTGGATTTGCTATTGGATTATTGCTCAAATACTCCTCAAAGTTGCCTTGATTTTCCCTTGCCAATGTCAAATATGTGACCTATAGAAAGAGAAGAAGAAAGTCACCAGAGAACATAGCCTCAAATTCAGCATAATTGATCTAGATAGCTTACCATTCCCTCCATCTTTGATGTGAACTGTCCCCCACACTGCTGCTTCAACTTTGTTAGGATACTTCTCTCATTGGCACTCTTATCAAATAACAGAGAAGAAGCTACTATGCAAGTAGTGGTTGAGATACACACTAGAGGTAACTCTACTTATAGAATTCTGCAAACAAGTCTTTATCACTAATATAAACTAGCAGCTACACTACCTGCAAGTGAGATCTATTATCAGCATTCTCCTACTCTAGTATTATGAAGAAAAAGCAGATGCTCTAGAGGAAAAAGAAGAGAAGGGGATCTATAGAGCAATTTACTTTTACCCTAATGCATAGAGTAGGACATTAAATTAGATAACTATAGTTGTGAAAAGGTGTGTGGTTTTGGAAACAATTATTCACATAGTCCAAATATTTATCATGAAGCTCAATCACTTTCCGAACAAAAACTGAAAATTCAGAAGTAAGCTCATCAACGAAAACATATTAAAGGAACTAAGGGATTACCTATTCCTTCAAACCAACCACATCTCTCTTATATGCTTGTTGAGGAAGAACACTAGTTGAATGCAAAACATTGAGCAGTTATATTAAATGAATTCACAAAGAAATAAGTACCAGTCTCATCTATGAAAAATGAATTAATTTTGAAATTGTTCTAACCAGCACAAGGGGAAAAGTTTTTAAAATACATAAAACTTGTTGGTTCCCTAAGCAACTGCATTTATTTTTTTTAAGATAAATATTTTGGGCTTAAAGCCCACTTAATGTTTGAAGGCTATCATAATTAATAGGCAGAAGGTAAAGTATTGTAAATTGGGCTAATGGCCTGATTAAACATTAAAACATTTGGGCTTAAAGCCCATTTAATTTTTGAGGGCTACAATAATGAATAGGCAGAAGGCCCACTTTCAGAAGTATTGTAGATTGGGCTAATGGCCCGATTAAATTAAGGGGAAATTACGCGGATGATCAAACATATACTAATTAATTAGCTAATATAATTATAGTTTGAATTAATTATGATTTGCAACTCAATTGTAGCTATAATTACGTGTGTGTCTCTCCTTTCTTCCTCTCTCTCGTCTCTCTCCTCGCTTATACATATACAAATACAAATACAAATTATACATATACATATATAATTATATGACAGATATACTAATGCAATTGCCTCTCTCCATTCTATGCATTCTCTCGCTCGCCTCTTTCCTCCCTCTCCCAATCTCACTCGCTAGGTATACAAATAAATATGTACATCGGTTACATATATACAATTATCTGACAGATATACATATACAACTCGCCTCTCTCCACTCTCTGCCCTCTCTCGCTCGCCTCTCTCCTCCCTCTCCCAATCTCTCTCACCTCTCTTCTCCCTCTAATATGTAGCTACTAGCTACGAATCGTAATTAGCAAACTATAACTATGAAACCTAATTAAAATGATTTTAGTGGCTATTTGTGAAAGTTCCTCTTAAAGTAATTTGGGAAAACTAATATTTCCTTTCTTCCTTCATTCGTTCACAATACTAATCATTCATTGATGATACAATAACAATATATACATATACTCATATGGTATCATTAAGGTTTCCTACATTCATTCATGTACAACCAACTCATTCTTCAATGATACCAACACATAAGGCCTAATCCATCGGTGACCCCTTAAAGTTGGCACGATATTTCACTTAGACACCTTAACTGGACGATGTTCATTTTAGACACCTTATGTAGGATCCCGCTGTGTCATTTTGATACCTTTTTTTAATATCAACAAAAACATATAATGTGTGTATATTACACTCGCAGATGATGTGTAAATTGACGAATTAAACCACGACATTTATCATTTATGTCAAAAGTAATTTTTAAATAATTAATGTTGAATAAAAATAAAAATTGACCATTAAATTAATGACACGTAATATTTTTTCCCCAAATAATTACAAAATAAAATAAACTCCCCAAATAATAACAAAATAAAATAAAATTTAAACTACCCCCACAACCCCAAATCGCCTGCTCCAAATCCCCACCCCATCGTCTTCTCTAACCCCCCCCCACCCCAAACCCGATCGCCTTCTGCAACCACCTCCCGTGTTTTCTCCGCCAAATACCCGACCTCTTTTTGCAGAACGCTGTGCAACCAGTTGATTTTTTCTTATCTCCAAATAACCCCCCGGCCTCCCCCAGCGCAAAGAATTTAATGAATAATTCCATTATTTTTGTTGAAACCTTCATTTACAATGGATGAGATTTAACTTGGAGAAAAATGGTGGTTGAAAATGGAGAAGAAGAAATAAAAAATTAAAAAGTAACTAAATAACCACTTCATGCGCCTACCAATGAGTGTATCACACTCATTATGCCATGTAAGTAAAAAGTGTCAAAATGGCACTGTGAGATTCTACCCGGAGTGTCTAAAATGAATATCGCTCAGTTAAGGTGTCTAAGTGAAACATTGTGCCAACTTTAGGGGGCTACCAATAGGTTAGGCCAACACATTATATATATAATACCATGGTATCATAGACTAATGAGCAGTCCTTCAAGGGATGAATTCATGATTTCTCAATGATACCATCACAACATATGTAGAATGAATGACTATTTAATATATTGGAACACACCTTAGATCATGTATAATATTGTTATAGTATATGAATATACTGTTGTGGTAACACTAAGGTTTACTTCATTCATT